CATTCATAACTATTTTCACTGCTTTTATGCCCTCCACTATTTACATCTCTACCATAAAATGCTGGTAATTGGTATATACTAAGTGAGGACATACAATATCTTTCTTTCATATCCTGGCTTGTTTCACTCAGCAATAGATCTTCCATATTCTACCACTTTCTATCAAATGCCAGAGTCTTGTTTTTTTTTTTTTTATGACTGAATAGTATTTCATAGAATATATGTGCCACAGTTTTTCAATCCATTCATCCGTACAGGGACATTTGGGTTGGTTCCATGTCTTAGGGACCATGAATAGTACTCAATAAATAGAGTTGTCTGACTGGGTAGATATCCAGGAGTGAAATTCCTGGATCATATTTTCTATTTGAAGTTCTTTGAGGAACTTCCATATTGTTCTCCACAGTGTCTGGGCCAATTTACATTACCACCAACAATGTGGGAGTGTTCCCTTTTCACCACATCCCAGCCAGCATTTATCATTTTTTGTGTTTTTTTTAATCTTTGCCATTCTGACTGGGGTTAGATGGTATCTCATTGTGGTTTTGATCTGCATCTCTCTTACAATGAAGGATGTTGAGCATTTTTTCATATCCTTTTTGGCTATTAATATGTCTTCCTTAGAGAGTTGTTTATTCAGCTCATTTTCCCATCTTTTAATTGGGTTAATCATTTTCTTCCAGGTAAGCTGCTTGAGTTATCTGTGTATTCTGGTTATCAGTCCTTATCAATCTATCTTTATAACCTTCTCATGATGTTGACTACTAAATATATTTTATTTTTAGTGTTTCACTATAGTAAAGTAAAAGACCACGGTTATTTAGCTACATGAGATTGCATGAGCATCAGCAGCCAAAATACAGCCTAATCTAATGTGTCCGTTTTACGCATGAAACAAATATGAAGAATTAATTCAGTCAGTATTTATTGAACATTGTCCACATACTGTGTACTGTGAAAACAGTCTGTGAAACGAACAGTCATGCATCTTGTTCTCATGTCAGCTTACATTCTAGTATGTGATTTAAATAGGTAAATCTAACAAGACTGTCTAACCAGGTAGTCTGATGGGTACTCCAATGAAGAGAGTGAAGAGCCTCTGTGATAGAAGTAAAAGAGAAGAGGGATTTGGGGCTTGGGTAGTGGGTGCTACTCAGGTGGGGAGAATAGCAGGTCCATCTTATTAACTGGAAGTGATATGGCTAAGCTCAAAATATTAAAGAGGATGGTTAAAAATGAGACTGGAAGAATAGAAAGAGATCTGATTGATAAAGGGTTTCTAAGCAGGGGAATGACATGGTCATATTATAATCACATTTGAGAAAGTGTACCCCTTCAGTAGTTGGGGAAGGAAATTGGGGAAGGAAGTCTGGGGGCAAGGAGACCAGTTAGAATAGGGTGGCAGATGATGATGGCATGAGTTAGAAAATGGTGTGTCTACTGGACAGTTTGTAAAGTAGTGACTTCATGAAATTTGGTACTCAAGCATGGTATATGCTGAAATCCTTTGTGTTCATGATCCCTTAAATTGTGTCCAGTAATTTATTGACATACCATGTAGGTCAGCTTACTTACTAACAGTGCTGTGTGCTATAACGTGCATGAATTTAGATGTGCTCACAGCCAAGTCAGTGCCTAAATATTTGTAGTAACAAGAATTTCATTATTTCCTGAGGCAATCTGTTCTAGATTGAGATTCTAAATCTCCATGTTTCTGAATCACAGTGAAAAAAAATCCCACTTCCTCTCTTTGACCTGCTTGCTCTTCTTAGACCACTTTTTTCCTATTAAACCTCCCTGTATATTTTAGAATTCAGTTACTTGGCTTGGCCCTTCAGATTTCTTTCCATGGACTTCATTAGTAACTTCTCTGATGGCTGGCCATGAACTAGACTTTAAAATGTCCAAGGTTACCCTTAGACTTTTAGGACCAGGATTGTAGTCTGGAGTTAATCTCCAACTCAGTCCTTTTCCATGTTAAGTGAAACTAACAGAGAATATGACTGCTATTATAAATTAGGTTTTAACTATTTACTTTGAATTAACTAGTAAATTTATAAAGGAATATCAAGTTTACAGAACTATTTTGACAGAGGAGAGGAAGGATATTGAGAGTGATGGCCCAAGCAAATTTCTTTGTTTTAAATTTGGCATTGTATTTTTCTAAGTAGGACTAATGAGATATTGCTTTCACTATGAAGTATTTCCTTTTTAAGATGCTCTTATCGGGGTGGCATAATCCACAGCGAATGTTACTTTATGTAAAAATTGTATGACAGATTCAAAAAACCATAGGTCATCTTAGGTCCTGATTAATAGAAAGTTCTGAAGTGGTTATAGGCCCTGTCATCTGTATTCTCCACATCAGTGGAGCTAGTTCTTAATTTACCTGCTTAGAAGCTTCAGATTGCTTCTTTGCTTCATCTTCTTTTTAGAAATTCTGAGAAAATCTCTGCTGCTCAATGTCTTTGTTGGGAAATGTTAATTCAACATAGTGTGTGAAGGGTTTACCTCATAGGGTGCCAGGCCACTGATTTATCTTCCCTGGCTGTCAAGGACACCAGTAGACAGAGGGTCTCAGGTCTCTGCCAAGGCATGTGAAGAAATGCCAGCGTATTCAAACAACAAAACAAATGTCACCATGTTTTGACAGTCTTCTCTTAGAATATACTCTTCCCTGGGTATATAATTTGGATGTAGTGTGAAGACTAAAATTTACTAGTAGAGTTAATTCTTGACTATATGGAAGGGGAATAGTAATATGACTTATCATAAACATTTGTCTTTGTAATAGAGAGGCTTTTGAGGTTGTGACCTTCCCCTCTTAGTGATATTAAAAAAAATGGCTTTGGAATCACCCTGGCATTGCTGCTTAGTAACGTTAATTAGTTGTTGTGCCACAGTTTTACATCTGTAGATTAAAAACAAGAAGTAAAACCCACCTCATATTTCTGTGAGGGTCAATGAAATAAGATGTTGAGTATCTAGTTATTCACATTTCTTATTACTTCAGAATGATCTAAAAATTAATTTGCCTTCCTGGAACTTAACATTGGAACGGCAGAGTGATATGAAATCAAGGCTTCTGGGTAGTTGGAACCGCCATATTCTCATTCTGGGACCAGCACCAGCCTGCTATGTGACCTTAGATAAGTCAATTTTGTAGTCATCTATGAAGTGAAGTTCTTAGCAGTAGTTATTCACTTCACATATTTCAATTATTCATTCATTTTACAAAAAATCAGTGAATGCCTACTGCGTGTGAGGCATTTCCAATGATAAATGAGACGAGCAAGATGAAGTTCATCCATCATGATTCATGCTCTCTTGGGCAAGATAGGAAGACCTCAGATAAATATATAAGAGAAGGCAGTGTGAGTAATAGAGAGTAAGCAGAATTGTGGTGGGGTGGGGATGTGGACAGTGGTTAGGCAAGGCCTTTCTGGTGAGGTTGAGAATTTCATTCAGCATTGGAATCATGGATTTCTATAGCACGACTGACTAACAGCATGGGATGGATGAGATATCTTTGTCCTCAAGCAGTGGAAGAAATTAGATCTTGTTAAGTCGTTGGAATGCAATTGGCAACAGGCACCGAGGCTGTGGAAGTATAAAGAGATGTGTAATCCAGCTAGGAAAGGCTTTTTAGAGGGGTGATACTTACCTGAGTCCTGAAAAACAAGTGGGCCAGCCAGGTGGAGAGAAAGGAGGAGGGCCTGCAGAAAATGCTCAGAGATCCAAGGGAATGGGAAAGCAGGTAGATGGAAAATGCATGAGTAATAAATATTGCTGTGCTTCTTAAATTATTATTATATGATGACAGAGGAGCTGTTTCAGAAGTTGATTTTTAAAAAAGCAAGTACAAATTAGGTGTTGATAATCCAAAATTCTGCTTATTAGGTGCTACAATGGAAGGTAGTCTAGCGCTTGAAACTAGTGTTTTCACAATTATATTACTTTATGATTTATGATATGTGGTTCAATTTCTTTTTTTTTTTTTTTTAGTTTTTTTTTTCGATTTGTTTTTGTGTTTTTTTGCCATAGGGCACATATGTTCACCAGAGAGAGAAAGAGAGACAGAGGGAAAGGGAGAAATCACCTCCTAGGAGTGATGGCCATGCTGCAATCCCTTCTCCTCCTTTCTCTTTCAGGATTTTAGAACACACACACACACACACACATGCCCAGTGTGAATTTTAAGCTGCCACGTCCTGGACTCGAACCACAGTTGGCCATATGGGAGTCCAGTGCCTTAACCACTATGCCACCTGCTGGCCCTGATAAATTTCACTTTTTAAAAACATGCTCTATACTTTAACTTTTTCCTTGTTGAATTTTAAGTTATTAGACATAGACCAGGTTACCTATTTTATGATTTCAGGGCCTGTCACACCACAAGACCACCCTACTTTGGAGAAGGGGATCGAGTTGATTATCATTTTATTTCTCAAGAAGTTTTTGATGAAATGCTAAACATGGTAAGAATGTTCTCCTTTATTTTTATTGCATTCAAAACATATGTTCTCTGGCAGAAATACTAGGAAATACTTACAAATGAAGAAGGGAAAAAATTAAATTTTGTACTTGTTATGAGAGGTGAGTTCTGATTGGGTTGTTCTTTCTTAAGGTGCTTAGTACATCATTCTTCATATACTGCTTTATTTTATGATCTCAGGAATGTTCTAACTTTCCAATAAAAATGAAAGAGTAGTTGTTTTAAGGAAATAGAACTAAAAGCACTGTGAAACATTCTTGTGATGTCTGCTTATTAGATGCTGCTGCTGTTATTAATCAGGTTTTACTCAAGATAAATAGTTCTCATAAAACTCACTTGATGCACAAAGCCTGGGACTTGAGCATTCCTAGGAGTTGGGGTATTTTGTCCAGTGTGTTACTAGGATGCTTTCTTTTTTCTTTTCTTCCTTTCTTTTCTGTGAAGAATTATTTATTTAATTTTATTTGTTTATTATTATTATTTTTTTAATTTGCTATAGGCACATATGCTCACTGGGGGTGGGGGACGTGTAAGTAAGCAAGCTGCCAGGTTCGGGACTTGAATTGTGGTCAGCCATGTGGGAATCCAGCACCTTAACCACCATGCCACCTGTTGACCCCATTTTTTTCTTTTATGAAGTTTATTTATTTGATTTCTTCCATGAAAGAGAAATAGATACAGGCAGCCCCCAAAGAGTCTTCATGCCAAGGCATCCCCCACCCCCACCTCAACCCACTTCCAGCCTTCTAGGCTTACAAGCATGTGGTGCTTTCTAATTGCCATAATCCTAAGGCCATTTTCAGAGTACCGTGTCCCACTCATTTGACTTGTTCTGCTGGGGAAGATAGGTAAGGTGCCCTTTTGAGAAATCCCTCATTGTAGAGACCAGGCAGTTCACTAATGAAGATAGAAACCTTTGCTATGAGGTGGGGGAAGATTCCCAGTTTTGTTGAGGGCTATGTACATGTCATAGGAGCTCAAAGCAATTTTGTTCATTTTCAATATTTGTTTTTACTGAAACCATGATAACCTAGTTATTAGTAGTAATTCAAAACATCCTTGTCTTTGAATTGATTTTCTTTCTTTCAATTGCTAGAAGGCATGTGTGCAGAAAGAAATAGACTGAGAGAGGGAGAGGGGAAGACGCATCCCCCCCCCCCCCTGGGTGGGGTGGTTCTGACCAAAGCCTTCCCCGGTGTGGTCATGCTGCAATCCCTCCTCCATTTCTCCATCGTGTTGGGATTTGGGGCACACATGCACAAGTGCCCAGCATGTTTTTCAAGCTGCCAGGGTGGTATTTGAACCACAGTCAGCCATGTGGGATCTAGTTCCTTCAACCAACAGACTAACAGACCAATCTGAGTTTGTTTTTTTAAAAACAATTTATTTGTTCCTTTTTTGGCCTTCACATGGGGTGGGGGAGGAATCTTCAGAGCCCTGGAATGTTACACTTGTTGGAAGTACGTGCTAATGTCAATATGTGTCCGCCGATGACTTCAGTTAAACTGAAAGATTATCCCATCTTCAGCACTACAATGGGTCTGTATGCCTTACGTCTTCATATTTTTCTGTAAACATATGAATCCTACATCACTTTTTGAATTTTCTGAAGCCTACAAAGGACCAGATGAGGGGCTGGTCTATATTTCTGCTTGTGTAAGATCGCCATCTAACCAATAATACAATAATACTGTTACAGCTACTTTCCCCCTCCCTTCTCTTCTCTTCTCTTCTCTTACTTTACTCGTTTCTCTGCTCCCACCCTCAGATAATGGACCTGGCTTTCCTCAGTGAACAGAATAATGGAAACTTAAACATAGACTGCAGTTTCTATAAGTTCAATTGTGAATGCCCAGCCCTATACATGGTGTCTGTCTTCAGATTTCTCTTGTACTCACAGAGAAACCCAAGAGAGTACTCTAATTTCTAGGCAATTTTCCCTTTAACCTTGTCAAAAACAATCTTGGAAATTCTTTATAATTTATCTCCTAGGACTGTATTTTGGTAGTAGTTCATCTTAATTTATTAAGAATGCTCTGGGACTTTATATTTCTAAAAGCTTTAATAGAGATTTGAGGAGTTAGCATGGTACTAGTCAGAAGCTTTTTCTTAGGACTCTTTAGGATGAAAGTCAGCTATTTCTAGTTCCCCCAAATTAATGTTAATTTCTCTTATTAGAACATAAGATATATATTTTTTAGTTCAGCTCATCTGTTCTTAGTATCCCCTAAGCACCCCTGATGTTTTATACCTTCTCGGATCTATGATTAGGTTCAATTTCTAGTCTAAGAAATCACAGCATTTCTGTACTTTTTTTTTTTTAAAGTCTTTTGCTGTGTTGTGATCCTCCTGCCTCCGGTCCCTGGGATTGTAATCTCAACCTACTATACTTGGCCTTTTAGGCTGGGCTGGGAATCAAACCTGGGCCTCCCACGGGTTCCCAGCCTGCTGAGCATGCTACTATGGCTCAACCTTTGATGCTATGCTTAATGTTATCATTTTACTCCCTCTATAAAAATCCTCACCTTCATGTGTTTGAGAAGTACTCATTTTTACTGCTCCATTAATATCTACTACTTCGCGGGACCAGCTGTTAGCATAATGGCTATGTCGCTGGACTCCCACGTAGTCGACCGTGGTTCGAGTCCCAGACCCTGTGGCTTAAAACTCACGCTGGGCGCGTGTGCGTGCATGCCCAAGATCCTAAGAGGAGAATGGAGGAGAAGGGATTGCGGCATGGCCATCCCCCCTGGGGGGTGATTTCGCGCTTTCTGTCTCTCTGTCTCTTTCTGTCTGTCTGGCGAGCGTACACACCCTATAGCAGAAACCTCTCAAAAAAAAAAAAACATATCTACTACTTCGGTATAAAATAATTTTCTTCAACTTTTTCAATTTTGTCTGATAGATTTTTGTTTTTACTAGAAGCTTTGTATATTTTCCAGAGAGAGACGGAGAGATAAAAAGAGAGGGAGAGGAGAAAGCACCCCTCATAGGGGGATGGTCACACCATAATCCCTTTTCCTCTATTTTTCTCTCCTTCGGGAATTTGGGCATACAGATACAGGTGCCCTGTGTGTTTCTCAAGCTGCTAGATGTAGGACTTGAACCGTGCAGTTGGCCATGTGGGATTTAACTGCCTTAGCCACCAGGCTGGAGAGTCAGAACTTCTGATCCTTTTTAAAAAGTGAGTTGAAGACTATTTCATTAAGAGACAGACCTAGAGATGGTAACTTCATGTTGCATTGTCAGCTTCTCCAGTCACACCCCACCGTCAGCCTTCTGTACACAGAACCCCCACACATGGTGCCTGGCCAGATGGCCTCCCCACCCTCCATTACGACAGCCCCATGGCATACCGTGTATCCACACACCCACTGTGGACAGTTACACCTTCCTGCCCTGACAGGTACGATGCATCGACCGGCGCAACCTCCCACATACACAAACCTCTTCCAACAAACACCTCCCTCGCCAGCATCCTCACCAACACACAGGTGGTCCCCTGTGTGCCCAACAGACACACAAAGCCTTCTTAGGGACACAGACCTAGTCGCTTATGTGCAAAAACTCTCCCTCTCCCGTGGAAATAGAACCACACACCCTGGAGATTTTTGAAGTATGACTAGGGCCGTGTGTTAGGGTATCCGCAGGCAGCAAGAATCCAAAGGAGAATCACCTGCCAGGAGTGGGGCTGGGGAGAGATCACTGCATCTCATTCCTAGCAAATCGATTTAATGGACTCTCGCTTATATGTATGCACAACTCAAGTTTCCTCCCAAGCCTACATCCTTCAAGAAAATGTTTCTGAGATCTACAGCGAGAGGTCCTTGCACACAAAATAAACAAACTTACAGTATCTAGCTGAGAAGTAACTTAAGTATGCAAAACAGGGTGAGTTACAGAGTACTAAGGTTCTCCAGAGAAAAGACCAATCAGGAGTTACAGAGTACTAAGGTTCTCCAGAGAAACGACCAATCAGGGGTATGTGTGTGTGTGTGTGTGTGTGTGTGTGTATACATACATAGGAAAGACATTTACCATAGGAACTGGCCCACATGTCACATGGCTCACATGAGTGGGGAGACTGGCATGTCCAAATCTGCACTGAGGAGACGTAGGAGAGCTCGACACAGGCGACATTCACAGGCTGCCCATTTTGTTCCGTTGGGGCCTGCAACTGGTAGGGTGAAGCCTACCCTCATTACAGAAGGCCATCGGCTGACTCAGAGCTCACCAGCTTAAATGTCAATCTCATCTTCAAACATCCACCAACTGACCTGTAAAATGAACTATCATACACATAGTATATACTTGAAAGGAGAGCCAGATAGCTATCTGTTTATCTTGAAACAATATGTATTTTATTTTTATAGAATTACTTAATTTTGTTATTATTATTAGTTTCTAATTTGCTATAGGGAACGTGCACTTACCAGAGAGAGACAGAGAGAGGGAAAGTAGGAAAGCAAGCATCCAGGTCTGGGACTTGAGCCATGGCCTGCCATGTGGGAGTTCAGCACCTTAACTACCATGCCACCTCTCAGCCCTGATATAATATATATTTTAAAAGAAAATGAATCACAGTATTTATTCCAAAGGGCAATGAAAGTTTGACATTGAAGGAGTAAAATATTAAGGATTCCTATTGTCGAGTGTTTTTACATGATTATGAGAATGTGACTGTCCTTTATCACCTGTGACAAATACACTCACAGACACTCACCCCATCCCCGAGAGACCCTTTGTGTCTCCTGCCCTTCCCACACCTCTCCCTGGCAGCCCACCTCCATTTCAACCCATGTCCAGGACCCCTGGGGCCAGAAAACACAGGGTGGTGACAGGCTCTCAGCTGCCGTCTCTCTTAGTGCTGCTGCCGCCATTCAGTGGTACTCTATGCAACCCTGGAAGTTGTCACATCATTACAGAATTTCATCACCGTATATGAGGAGTCAGGCTTGCCAAGAACATCAGTGTGTTTATTTCTTCTGTGGCCATCAGTTTCCAGTTTAGGGAAGACCTTTAATAAGTTTAATGTTATCAAAGAAAAACCCAGAGACAATTTTAACTTGCATTTTCTGTGTTTTTATTTACGTTTGTTTCTGCAAGGGAGTACAGCTTTCTGAAGAACCGAGCTCCCAGAATACAGGGGAAGGCGGTATTTATAACTCAGATGACTGTAACAAACAATTCTGTTGAATAACACTTGGGGCAGTTGCAATAAAAAGTTATCTTTATGAGGAAAAACAGGGTAGGTCTGTTTTTCAAAGCTTTTAGGATGTCCCCGTGATTCATGGTCTTCAGGAATTACCTGTAATGCCTGGCTTATCTTGCAGTGCAGGGCTCTGGGGGGGTGGCATGATTTCCTGGGATCCCTGGTATGCTGGCATCGTGGAAGTGGCAGAGGAGAAGGCACACCATTAGTTGTGTTCTCTTAATGTAGGCTTGTGGGGCAGGTTTGGCAGGAAGTGGGCAAGTAAGAAAAACGGTCTGTTCTCCCCTAAGCTTTAGTGTTTTACCCTCCTCCAAAGCTAATTTTGTTTTTATCAGCTGAGAACTCTGAATAAATTTCTCTCTCCCAGTATGAAATGAAGTTTCATAACCCTAGGATCATGTTTATGCAGTTGCTAATATTTGTAAGTTTTGTGGAATTACATACAAATAAGTTATTAAATGATGTTGCTTATATTAAATTCGATTACAGCTGCTGTTATATGAAAATCTCTCTACTTCTTGAATTCCAGGGGAAATTCATTCTAACATTTAATTATGGTAATCACAATTACGGACTGAACAGGGACACCATAGAAGGGATCGCAAGAGATGGTTTAGCGAGCTGTGTTCATATGGAAATAGAAGTAAGTGTTTTTTGTTCAGTTTATTTTTAATGAGTGTATGTGTGCATTTGTGTGTATTTGTGTGTGTGTGTGCCTATGCATGTGTACACACACGCACACATGCATGCACACACACACACACATATATATTTGAATCAACAATTAATTCTTCTATATTTTTTAAAGGTTTTTGCCACAGGGCGCTTGTGCTCACTGGAGAGAGACAGAGACAGTGAGAGGGAAAGTGAGAAGTCACCCCCTGGGGGATGGCCACGCTGCAGTCCCTTTTGGTCTATTCTCTTCTTTGGATCTCAGTCACATATGCACATGGGCTAGCATGATTAAGTGGCTCGGTCTGGGACTCAAACAGTGGTTGGCCATGTGGGAGTCCAGCACCTTAACCACTATGCCACCTGCTGGCCCCCACACATATGTATCTGAGGTTGAGAAGAGGAGCTGTATTGTACAGGTAGACACCATGAGGCACAAAAGAAAAATGTAGGACAACATGAGGTTATACACTTATAATTAGCATGGAGGAGGCAAGAGGTTTAGAATTAAGCGACAGGAATTAGAGTGTAAGAAATCGCACATATACTAGGAGTAAAGTTGCCACTCAGGATATCTGTATCAAGCTATGCCTCACTAAATTATCTTTCTTCTTTTTAGAGCACGGTCTCTGTTTCTATAGAGTGATGTTAGATGAAGTCAGATTCTTCCAGGGTGTGGAGCTGGTTCCCAGTCCCACGGGGCGATGGCAGCCCTGTGTCGTTCTTCGTTCCTTCATCCTGCATGGGAGAGACTTGGGCTGTGCTGTCATTTGATGCCAGTTGCTCACTAGGGAAACATGTTCCTACTTCTGGCAATTTATTTTTTAAAATTTTTTTAAACTTTATTTATTTATTTTAATTTGACCAGAGAGGGACAGAGCGAGGGACAGAGCAAGAGAGAGAGAGCGAGAGCAAGGGTGAGAGACACCTTAACCACTATGCCACCTGCTGGCGCCCACACACACGCATCTGAGGTTGACAAGAGGAGCTGTATTGTACAGGTAGACGCCATGAGGCACAAAAGAAAAATGTAGGACAACATGAGGTTATACACTTATAATTAGCATGGAGGAGGCAAGAGGTTTAGAATTAAGCGACAGGAATTAGAGTGTAAGAAATCGCACATATACTAGGAGTAAAGTTGCCACTCAGGATATCTGTATCAAGCTATGCCTCACTAAATTATCCTTCTCCTTTTTAGAGCATGGTCTCTGTTTCCATAGAGTGATGTTAGATGAAGTCAGATTCTTCCAGGGTGTGGAGCTGGTTCCCAGTCCCACGGGGCGATGGCAGCCCTGTGTCGTTCTTCGTTCCTTCATCCTGCATGGGAGAGACTTGGGCTGTGCTGTCATTTGATGCCAGTTGCTCACTAGGGAAACATATTCCTACTTCTGGCAATTTATTTTTTAAAATTTTTTTAAACTTTATTTATTTATTTTAATTTGACCAGAGAGGGACAGAGCGAGGGACAGAGCAAGAGAGAGAGAGCGAGAGCAAGGGTGAGAGAGGAGAGAGAGAGAGGAAATGAGAAAGCAAGCCCCCAGGTCTGGGACTCCAACTGCGGTTGGCCATGTGGTAGTCTAGCATCCTTAACTACCCCGTCACCTGCCAGCCCCATACTTCTGGCAATCTGGACTCAGAGATTTCAGGAGACTTTTCTCCCTGTCTCAATATCTTGTCTTCCTCCAACAAACTTCTGTCGTTAAGCTGAATATATAGAAGTTTCTCCAAAATTAAGATCCAGGGTAAAGTCATGAATTTCCCACTCATTTGTTTTAAAAAATATATAGCTTTATTAAATACTTGAAGTCTTTGGATAGTTGTTTTCTCAGGTTGCCTTTTCTGAGCAGTGTAACACTGTTGTACTCATAAAAATCTATAAAAATAAGTCAGTGAGACCACACTCAGAGAAAGCAAAACCTAGGCAAGTCTGGGATCTCTGTACTGTGGACTCTGGGTCTTTCTCGCTTGTTTCCTTTGTAATATCACAGAGCAGGGACTGTAATTTCTTTTTGGCTTCTTGAGTTGGCTAAAGTATTCCCTAACTTCCATGAAACTGGTCACATTTCTTCCAACTCTCTCTTTTAATTATTTTTAAAATTTTGCTAGAGGATGCATGCATTTACTGGAGGGAGAAAAAGAGAGAGAGAGAGAGAAAGAAAAAAAAAAAATCTTGGGGAATGATCATAAAGCAATCTCTTCTCCTCAGTCTCTCCCTCCTTTCAGGATTTTGGGTACTCATGCACAAGCACCTAGTGTGTTTTTCAAGCCTCCAGGTCTAGGACGAGTCACTCAGGCCATAGGCTTGGCACTTTCTGCTCTTTAACTTTCCTGAATTTAAAATCTTTCCATTCTTATCTTTCTGCAATCAATTGGTTCTGTATCTATAAGGAGGGTTTTCTTTGTTTCCATGCTAATTAGTAAAAAGGGAGGGAAAAAAGGCCATTCTAAGTAATTTCTTCCTTGGACAAGGCAGAAATGAAAATAGCACATTTCTGAATGCAGAAACTCTTATTTTTGTCTACCATTTTCCAGTTCAATGACTAGCTGAGTGATGGCTCTTGTTTTACTTTTTCTCGCCTTGAGAACTTACTCCTACTCATTTCCAGGGGATTGAATCTATAATCCACGCTTTCTTACCTCGAGTCTCCCCACCCGAAGTGTTTTTATAGACTGCCCTCATCACTGACACTTTCAGAAGCTGCTTTGAAAAGACTTCCCACTGAACTTCTTCCCACTGAATTTTGAAATCAAAGGTTTTGAACATTGAGTTAAACTGATGATAGAATTTAAATGGAAAGGACTTTAGAATCCGTTTAGACTAACTCTTTGATTTTGTTCATGAGGAAACTGATAAGGAGCCAGTTTGAAGGGTCTGCACTGAGTACCAAGTTAGAGAACTCTGATCCCAGCCAGACTGAGAGTCGTGCCCAGCACTTCGCACTGATTTGTGCTGGGATGTCTTGGTTCGCAGTTACTGGAAGCTTGGCCCTTCCACGCCGAAGAGAGAGGCTGTGAGAGGGGTTTGGAACCGGCCTAACCAAGTTGCTAAGGGTCCCTAGCAAAGGGGCTGACCAAAGGGTAGCAGAGAAGCCTTTTCTCCCTGTGAGATCCTGGTGTTCCAAAGGTGCCTTTTGAAATACGGAATTGAAATGACTTCTCAATGATGAAGTCGCAGGACTGCTATGAACATGCCTATTTTATATCTAGCAATTTTCTTTTCTAACAGTCATATTCATTAGAATGATTAATTAGAGGGAAGCCAGTTTCTAAAGACAATTTAGTATTTGATGAAGAAAGAAAAGTAACCCAATCTTGAGATATTTATGGGAAAATAGTAGCTAATTATACAAATAAAACAAATTGTTCAATAGAATACTACTGCTTATATCCATGCTAAATTGTGCATCTGTTTCCAATTTATTACCTTTTCCTTAAACACATAGGGTGTGAGAAGTTTGAAATATTCTTATTTTGAGCCTCGATATATCCTGGTGGTGCCCATGAACAAGGAAAAATATGAGGGATACTTACGGAGAAAGGGATTATTCAGTCGTGCGGAAATTGAATTTGCTGTCTCCAGAGTGGATCTTTATATAAAAATTAACCAAAAATTTCCAGGATATTTTGATGCGGTAATCAATGCAGGTCAGTAACTTTAACAAAGCTTTATCTTTGAAGTATAAGGTCACTGGATTGAATGTTTGTTTCATGGGTCAAAAATTCTTGAATAAGATATATTCTTCTTGTAACAGTGACTCACAAAAGGCCGCTAAATGAGGTAAGAATCCAAGATGTAAAACCTTGCACTCTGCTCAATTTTTTTTTTAAAGAATTTTGCCATAGGGTGCACATTCTCACCAGAGAGAAGGTAAGTGAGAAATTACCCACTAAGAGGGATGCCATGCCCAATTTCTTCTCTTCCATTCTTCTCTCAGAATTTTGGGCACATATGCATATGCACTGGGTTTGGGACTTGAACTGCTGAATCAGCCATGTGGGATTCAGCACCTTAACCGCCATGCCACCTCCTGGTCCTTTCTACTCTGTTTTAACTGGAGGATTATCCCTGTTATTTCTTTTTTATTTTAAAAATATATTTATCTAATTTTACTTGTTGTTATTATTTTTTTAATTTGACCAGAGAGAGAGACAAAGGGAGAGAGAGAGAGAAAGGTAAAGTGAGAATACAAGTTGCCCGGTCTAAGGCTCAAACTATGGTCTGCCATGTGGGAGTTCAGCACCTTTCGCTACCTGCCGGCTCCATCCTTATCGGTCTAAGGCTCAACCTATGGTCTGCCATGTGGGAGTTCAGCCCCTTTCGCTACCTGCCGGCTCCATCCTTATTATTTCTTATGATCTTAATGAATAATATTCAGTGTAAAGTGAGCCTGGATTAGATTCCTTCTTCAGGGACACTGTGAGAACAAAGTTAGAAAATACATCATTTAAAGTACACATTTAAATTTCTAGAAAGGTATATGAAACTCAGGCAAATTTACTATAATCTAATTTAGGTGAAAGCCCAACTACTAAAAATATAATAACCATGAAAATATCTGTGTAAACCAAATGTTTCAAAAGGTAACTTTCCTACACTGTTGGTAGTAATGTAAATCAATACCACCACTGTGGAGAACAATATAGAGGTTCCTCAGAAACCTACAAATAGAGCTACCATATAACCCAATAATTACACTCTTAGGTATCTACCCAAAGGAGAGGAAAACAGTCAGAAAATCATTTGTACTTCCATGTTCATTGCAGCATTATTCCCTATTGCTGGAACATGGAATCAACCCAAACTTCCAAGAACAGACAACTGGATTGAAAAAATGTGGCACATGTACTCTATGGAATACTACTCATCCATTAAAAATAAAACATTGAGATCCTGACATTTCATACACAGTGGATAAATATGCAAGATTTAATGCTAAGCAAAGCAACCAGACTGTGAAAGACAGACATTGTATATCTCCACTTGATATATACTGAATATCTGCACTCCATAGCAGAAACTGAAAGATTAGAAGGTATAATAGCAGGGAGGGCAACTGTAGATACTAGAGACAGTATAGGAAGGGATGGGTAATAGAGGGTGGGTAATAGGAGGTGGAGGGGATCAGGGAAAAAAAACAAGCAAAACATTTAATACATGCAAAAATGAAAAGTTAATTGTTGATGATAACATATATGGTAATAGAATTGAAATGACTTCTCAATGATGAAGTCGCAGGACTGCTATGAACATGCCTATTTTATATCTAGCAATTTTCTTTTCTAACAGTCATATTCATTAGAATGATTAATTAGAGGGAAGCCAGTTTCTAAAGACAATTTAGTATTTGATGAAGAAAGAAAAGTAACCCAATCTTGAGATATTTATGGGAAAATAGTAGCTAATTATACAAATAAAACAAATTGTTCAATAGAATACTACTGCTTATATCCATGCTAAATTGTGCATCTGTTTCCAATTTATTACCTTTTCCTTAAACACATAGGGTGTGAGAAGTTTGAAATATTCTTATTTTGAGCCTCGATATATCCTGGTGGTGCCCATGAACAAGGAAAAATATGAGGGATACTTACGGAGAAAGGGATTATTCAGTCGTGCGGAAATTGAATTTGCTGTCTCCAGAGTGGATCTTTATATAAAAATTAACCAAAAATTTCCAGGATATTTTGATGCGGTAATCAATGCAGGTCAGTAACTTTAACAAAGCTTTATCTTTGAAGTATAAGGTCACTGGATTGAATGTTTGTTTCATGGGTCAAAAATTCTTGAATAAGATATATTCTTCTTGTAACAGTGACTCACAAAAGGCCGCTAAATGAGGTAAGAATCCAAGATGTAAAACCTTGCACTCTGCTCAATTTTTTTTTTAAAGAATTTTGCCATAGGGTGCACATTCTCACCAGAGAGAAGGTAAGTGAGAAATTACCCACTAAGAGGGATGCCATGCCCAATTTCTTCTCTTCCATTCTTCTCTCAGAATTTTGGGCACATATGCATATGCACTGGGTTTGGGACTTGAACTGCTGAATCAGCCATGTGGGATTCAGCACCTTAACCGCCATGCCACCTCCTGGCCCTTTCTACTCTGTTTTAACTGGAGGATTATCCCTGTTATTTCTTTTTTATTTTAAAAATATATTTATCTAATTTTACTTGTTGTTATTATTTTTTTAATTTGACCAGAGAGAGAGACAAAGGGAGAGAGAGAGAGAAAGGTAAAGTGAGAATACAAGTTGCCCGGTCTAAGGCTCAAACTATGGTCTGCCATGTGGGAGTTCAGCACCTTTCGCTACCTGCCGGCTCCATCCTTATTATTTCTTATGATCTTAATGAATAATATTCAGTGTAAAGTGAGCCTGGATTAGATTCCTTCTTCAGGGACACTGTGAGAACAAAGTTAGAAAATACATCATTTAAAGTACACATTTAAATTTCTAGAAAGGTATATGAAACTCAGGCAAATTTACTATAATCTAATTTAGGTGAAAGCCCAACTACTAAAAATATAATAACCATGAAAATATCTGTGTAAACCAAATGTTTCAAAAGGTAACTTTCCTACACTGTTGGTAGTAATGTAAATCAATACCACCACTGTGGAGAACAATATAGAGGTTCCTCAGAAACCTACAAATAGAGCTACCATATAACCCAATAATTACACTCTTAGGTATCTACCCAAAGGAGAGGAAAACAGTCAGAAAATCATTTGTACTTCCATGTTCATTGCAGCATTATTCCCTATTGCTGGAACATGGAATCAACCCAAACTTCCAAGAACAGACAACTGGATTGAAAAAATGTGGCACATGTACTCTATGGAATACTACTCATCCATTAAAAATAAAACATTGAGATCCTGACATTTCATACACAGTGGATAAATATGCAAGATTTAATGCTAAGCAAAGCAACCAGACTGTGAAAGACAGACATTGTATATCTCCACTTGATATATACTGAATATCTGCACTCCATAGCAGAAACTGAAAGATTAGAAGGTATAATAGCAGGGAGGGCAACTGTAGATACTAGAGACAGTATAGGAAGGGATGGGTAATAGAGGGTGGGTAATAGGAGGTGGAGGGGATCAGGGAAAAAAAACAAGCAAAACATTTAATACATGCAAAAATGAAAAGTTAATTGTTGATGATAACATATATGGTAATATCTTTGACTTGACTAATGTGCACTGTATTCAGGCTGGGAAAAACATGTATGCTGTAAAGATGTACAGTGATTAACTGTAAATTTTTTAAAAATGTTTTCAAAAACTAACTTAAAAATGACCAATTTGAAGTAGTAGTTAGTGGTAGAATTTATTGAAATATGGAAATTTCTTATATATTTTGAATCTGTACTATATTATGCAGCCATACATAGGAATGAGAAAACACTCTGTGTCCAGATAAACTATCTTCAAACTATACTGTTACTGAAAAATCCAAGTTCACAATCATAGAGATAGTATGTTAAAAAAAAAAAGAATTACTTAGTTATATTTTCCTGAACTACATAAAAAGTCCCTGTATGAATTTTCAAAAAAACTAATAACACTGATTACTTATTTGGAATGGGATTAGATAGACAGGGGACATCAGGGTGAACGATATGAAATTGCTTATATTCAACTATTTTGAACCATGAAAAGAGCAGTTTCATATGGTTCAACTCAACAGTTTTTGATCTCTGAAACATGTTAATGTACTACATATTTATATTGGTTTTCTGTTGCTATACAGAAATCATTAGACTTAGAGGCTTAAAACAACACCTGTTTATTAGCTTATAGTTTTGTAGTTTGAAAGTCTGGTACAACATAATTAGATTCTCTGCTCGGGGTATCAGGAGACTGAAATTCAGGTGGCAGCTGGGCTGAGGTCTCATCCAAAGGCTCTGGTGAAAAATCTGTTCCTAAGTTTCTTTTTATTGTTGACAGAATGTAGTTTCTTATGGTGGTGAGACTTAAGTCCTAGTTGGCTTCTTGGCTGTCTGCCCAGGATTGTCCTCAGTTCCTGACAGCTGCTGTTGGGGTCTTGTTCACATGGCCTCCATCTTCAAGTCAGCAACAACACATTGGATTCTCCTTGTGCTTTGAATCTCTATCCTCCTTTTCTGCCATCAACTAGAGAAAACTCTCCTTTTTTATAAGGCTCATGTGCTTAGGGAAGGTCCACCTGGATAATCTCCCTATTGACAAACCTGAAGTCAACCCATTAGTAATCTTAATTACATCTGCAAACATCCCTTTTCTCATGTAAGTTAATCATGGAGAGGTAGGTTATTATTATTATTATTATTTTTATATATAGATTCTGCCACACTGAAGGGGAAAGGATTATACAAAAGGTGGAGTATCCTTAGGGTCATCTTAGAATTCTGCCTACCACAATATTCAGAAAATCCAATGTAAACAAATCATTACCACCACCATTGAATGCTCACTCTATTTTGACATCATCATGTTACTCTAAGCACACTCTCTCATTTACTGTAGATGATCTGGATGTTGCCTACCAGAAGCTGAGTCAGCTCATTAGAGAATACCTGGGATTGGCTGAAGAATCTGACAAGAGTTTGGCCCCAACTGCAGGTACTATCCTCTACCTTGTTGTCAGATTTTTTTTTCCCAAAAAACAACAACAAAAATGTATAGGTAAACAAATCTGTGAGTCGTCTTTGCACAATCAACTAATTCTAACCCCTTTAATATCTTCCTCAGTGATTATCCCCACAACAAGCTACATCAGTCAGCCTCTGGACCTGTAATTTCACTTGTCTCCATGACCATAATGGAACTCAGGGGACAGCCCTTCAGGGACATTCTGAGCAGTGCTGAGGGTGGGTAATAGATAAGGATTAGTCTCACAGTTCAGAACTCCCAGAAGCTTGATCCCCTTAGGAGGTTGAGGTGTTATTCTCTCTTGTCAGGTTTGCATTTAATTCAAGCACTTTAGTCCAAGAGCATCCTTTCTCCTTCTCTTTGCATTGACCCAGTGCTCAAAATGTTGCACTGCAGGGTATAGTGGAAAGAGCACCCATCAAAGGATGAGGTCCTTGTCCTAGCCCTGCTGTTCCCTTGGGCAAGTCACTTAGCTCTTGCACTCTTCAAATTACTGTACTGCACAATAAACTTAATGCTCCCTACCTGCCTCTCAGGCTGGGAACAGTAAATGATGCAGAATGTGTAAGAGTAGATCTCCTTGGGATCTAGGAATTCTAAAGCCTTAACTTAGAATTTTGGTGCATGAGTTTTGAGATGTATTTAGGTTTCCCCAATTCCACCCCACAACTATTAGTATGGCTACTATAAAAACAAAACAAAATAAGACAAAACACAGAAAATGCCAAGCATGAGGAGAAATTGGAACACTTGTGTGTTCTGGGTGGGAATGTAAAACGATGGAGCTATCCTGGAAAACATTGTGGCGGTTCCTCAAAACATTAAAAATAGGACCACTGTATGATCCAGAAACTCCACTTCTGGGTATATACTCAAAAGAACAGAAAGTAAGATATCAAAGACATAGTTACTATTCACGCCATGGCGGTACTTTCCATAATAGCCATAAGATGGAAGCAACCCAAGTGCCCATTGGTGGATGAATGGATAAACAAGTTGTGCTATATCCATACAATGGAATACTTAAGAAGGAAGGAGATTCTAACACATGCTACAACATGTATGAACCTGTTTAGTAAAATAAGCCAGTTGCAAAAGGACAGATATTTTATGGTTCCACTAATATGAGGTGCCTTGAATAGTCAAATTCAATGGAACAGAAAGTAGAATGGCAATTACCAGGGATGGGAAAAGGGAGGATTGAGGAGTTATTTAATGGATACCGAGTTTTAGTTTGAGAAGATTAAGAGTTCTGGAGGGCCAACAGGTGACGTGGTGGTTAAGGTGGCTGGATCCCACATGGCTGACTGGACTGACTGCATGGTTTGAGTCCAGGACCCTTTGGCTTGAGAAACACACCAGGCATATGTGCATGCATGCCAAAATCCCAAAAGAAGGTAGAGACAGAAGAAAGGGGATTTCAGTGTGACCATTCTCTCTTTGAGATGCCTTCTCACTTTTCCTTTCTCTCATTCTCTGTCTCTCTCTGGCAAGTGCATACAACCTCTGGCAAAAATAATAATAAAATAAAAAGGGTTCTGGAGTTGGATGGTGATGATGATAGCATAATTATACTAAATCATATACTTAAAATTGTTAAGATAATAAATTTCCGTATACATTTTACCACAATAATAATTTTAAAAGGTAAAATCAATGGACTGAACTCATCACAAATGAAATGTTACAAAACGTTAATGTAAGACTTGCTGCTTTGAAGCTTGTGTTTTAACTTTTGCGACTCTGCCACAAAACGATCTGGTTTGCTGAGTTGTATCTTGGCCTACTAGCGCAGGCCAGGTCATGCTAATGCTGGAGTTCAAACCCATTGTACCATTCTGCAATTTTGCACACTATTCCCAGGTCAAGTGTTTTAGAATGAAGTCATTCTAAAACAAACAAACAAAAAATTTTTAAAAAGAGAGTGAAGACAAGTAGTATTATCTGTTGAAAACAATCAGCAGGCAATGGCTGAGACTTTTCTTGTACACGTGTCTCACAGGAAATGGAGTGATCGGGTACCACTGCTGAGTAGGAAGTACCTGGACAAAGTGCAGCCTGTCTGACAACAGGCCTTAATGGAGGGAGTGGAAGACTGTGTTCTGTCAACAGGGCAGGGGTGGGGGATGATGGAGGTGTCCAATTAGGAGCGTGTCAGCGTGTTTACCTAGCCCTGCTCTGACTCCCTGTATCGGGTGTTGGTTCTTTAGAAAACTGTGGCCATTGAGTAGAGAGGTACAGTGCATCTAATGAGGTTTCCTTAGCTCAGTAGAAGTTTCTCTTGAGGAAATCTGGCTCCCTCTGCTTGAATTCTTTGCTAACCAAGCAACGTGCTGATCTTTAATTTGGTCCTCTGGGGTGGAGCAGCCCCTGTGGAGGCTGTACTCTACGTTAGAACGCCCTGGCCTGGTCCCTGAGCCAGGCCCATGTCCCATTGTAAATTAATAAATTGGTATGCTGGCTTTTAAATCAGCCCCTTGTGGTTTGGATAAGCATGAGTCAGTCCCCCCGGGCCTGACCGGTGGCAGCACGAAGGGTGCCTGTCAACGGAGGCGCTTGAGCAAGACATAGCCCCCATAGTGAGCAGGACCCCATCTCTGTATCTTATTCTACAACTGTCAGGAAGTCTGGCTATTGAGTGCAATTGCCATTTGGAAAATTAATAGACCAGATAATGTGTGCATAGGAAAATGGGCTCCCATTTTAAAGGGTATAATAAAATTTTATTTATTTGGACCAATTAGGTTAGGCCTGTCTGATTTAATAGGAAGTATGAATTATAGAATTTGTAAAAATTTTAGTACTCTCAGATACATTTACTAACCAAAACTGAGCCATCTAGTTATCGACTAATAGAATTCCAGCTTTAGGAAGCAGATGGGAGGGTGTGTAATTCATATATCGAATCGCTAGCCTTACCACACCTTGCTTTTTCTGGCAGGTTTAGTATCTTGAAACACAATGTGTTTTCTGAAGTCAAACCTTTTATTCAGTTTATACTGTTAATTCTGGGCATGCATGTACACCCACCTGCCATGTTTTCCCAGCTGCTGAGTCCAGGACTTAAACTACAGAGTTGTCTATATGGGATACAGCACCTTAACGACCACACCAGCTGCTGGCCCTGAACTCCCATTCTTTGAAACAAACAAAAACAAGGCCAGAAACAACAACAACACCAGCAAAAACCCTATATGAATGGACGTCAAAAAAATTCATGGAAAAATAGAATTAGAATACAAGTTTATTTTGGCATATAAAAATTTCAAAATCCACAAATAGTTTTTTCATAAATGCATTTACAATGAACTTTTTGGATACTCTTTGTATGTAATATTATGGGACATTATTAGGACCTGACCTCTCAGAGCTGAGGTTTTCCACAGTTGGATTAGACTGTGTGTCAGACTTTAGTAGAAATTCAAATCTTCTGGCCTTCAGCATTGTTTTTCTAAAAATGGTAATCCTATATCAATGCAAACTGAATATTATTTCCTAACACTTGAAGCAAATAATACATAGCTTTATCTTTAGGAATATTAGGTTGTCCATTTGTAAATGAGAATACAATTTTAATTTCCACCCTTATCAATGAAAGTGGGATGAAGTGATAAAAGTTAGCATTGTGTGTCAGTTCTGACATCTGTCAGTCTGGATGGACTCAGCAATGTAAACCTTCACCAGTGGATGGGTTAATTGGACTTTTATTTATTTATTAACTTTTTATTGTTATATTTTAATTTGCTATGGGGTACACGTGCTCACCAGAGAAAGAGAGAAAGTGAGAAAGTGAGAAGGCAAGCTGCCAGATCCAAGAATTGAATTGCAGTCAGTCAAGTGGGAGTCCAGCACCTTAATCACCATACCACCTGCCAGCCCCTGGACTTTCATTTAATGCATGTGAAAAGAGTAACTTTAGGTACAGAGTGATTATAAACTTATGAGGTCTTTGGATATACCATTCACTGAAAATGTGTATCAATATAGGTATAGAACTGTCTTACTTATTTTCTATAGTAATGCAGGTAACATTTGTTTCAAGGCACAAAGATTTAAAAAAAAAAAAAAAAACCTGAGCAAACAATATAGTTTGTATAAAGTAAGGAAAACCTTACTGTATTCTCCAACTCCATGTAGGGGATGTCTTTACCCTCCATTTGTCTCTATAGAACCTATTTCTGGGATAGTTCGTACTTCCAAAAAAGCTTTTAGAAAGCTGAACCAACTAGCACCCTGAGTTCTTGCTATGAAGATCATGAAATTATATTTGCAAATCATTATTCATAATTCTGACTAATGGTAGAGAATGATGATGGTAATGATGAAGTCAAACAGAGGAAAAGTGAGCAATTTACTAGTCCATAAAGTAGTGCCTTTATCTTTAATAAAAGGCTTGGTATCATTTGCCAAATTATGTGAATTGTTAAATTGTGAAAGTGGAAGGAAAAATTCTTGTATGTCTAATTATAGGAAACCAGCAGGGATTAAAGAAGGAAAGAACCTTAAGCACTGGGTTTCACAGTTCTTTTTTTCTTTTTTAATTACTTTCTTTAAGAAAAAAAATTACCAGAGGGTACATGTGCTCGCTGGAGAGAGACCCAGGAGTGGGTAAGAGAGAGAGAGAAAGAGAGAAAGGAAATGAGAAAGCACCTCCCCATGGAGGATAGTCATACCACAATTCTTTCTCCTGTGTTTCAACTTTTGGGGATTTTGGGCACACATGCACACAGGCCTGGTGTGTTTCTCAAGCTGCCAGGTTCAGCCCTCAAACTGTGCAGTAGGCATGTGGGATTCAGTTGCCTTAATTAACACACCACCAGCTGACATTTAATTACATTTTTTGTGGTCAAACTATATATTTGAATATGTATACACACAAAAATCATAAAGTTTACTGTTTTAACAATTTTTTGAGAGGTTTTTGCTATAAGGCACATGCACTTGCCAGAAAGATAGAGAGAGACAGAGAG